TAGATTATTTCAAATTCATATTATTAGGTACAAACTAGGTTACTCATTGTTAATATAAAATAAGGCATCTAGATATATAACCTTTTTACTCTACTTCCAAATTTGTAATTGATATAAGTTCTTTATTATAGTGAATACCTTTAGTTTATGATCTACACAATTCCATGATTCATAAACTTCCACTATTCAAATAACTTTTTACAGAGAGAATGCTATAAAGATACAACTCAAGATTTACAGTCAATAATAATTGACCAGCCTTTCAATTATTCTGATTGGAGAAAAAGACTTTTCTTTGTTTTGATATGAAATCAGGAAATAAAACCACACCCTATCCTTTGTTGTGTCAAATAGTAAAYTGAGTTCTGTCCAGGCCTAATCTTACATCTTAGCATTTCAAAGAACCCATYTCAGCTGCAGCAATGAGCATTTGAATTGATTGTGTGAACAGATGGATTCTGGTCTTTGTGAAAAGTGATGAGAATTTAGAACAAAGGATGTTATCATTTCTTCAATGGGTAATTCAAATATGTAAAATTTTAGTTTAGAGTAATTTTAAAAGAAAGCTAACACAAATGTTTTTTTTTTCTTGTTTAAAAGAGAGAGATCAAAATACAATATATCTGCAACAAGAATCAAAGAAATATATACTAGTATATATAATATAAAATTTGTCTGGATAAGAGAATAAACTTTTCCCATTTGAAAAGACAAACTCTTTTCAAAGAAAACAAAATTTACTAAATTATCCTATTCATCAATCATCCTATTCATTCATGTTTGTATGAGTTTTGATTGAATTACCTTTTTTTTTAGAAAAGACTAAACAAACCTAAAAAAAACTGTAAAAATCACTGACTCACTGAATATTTGTATTACTTTATTATTTACACCAGTTGGACTTTTATGGATAACTGAACATAAGCAAATAGTTCAATTAAAATGTATTTGATTGCAGTAATGTTTTGCTTGAATTAAAAATGTTGAATGTTTCATTGATAAATTGTAAAACACAGTGCATCAATTTCAAAGTGCTATAATTCATTAAGTCTGGAGTAGAGACATTAAAAATTGATTAGCATTAATTTATGCTGTGTCTACTGAGCGTAAAAATATTGAACTCAAAGTCCAAATCTATGAACCACAAGGTCTAAGTTAATCGTATTTCTCATTTAAGGACTGAATATTTTTTTTATACTGTTTTCATTTCATAGTATTAATGCTGTTTACTATTGCGAAGTATACATTGTTTTGGTTTAATATGATGTGAACCTATTAGCTTCTCTTTTGTTTGATAAGAGCCATCAATGCTTGGTGGGGCAAAGGCTCTAATTATATTGTCATACAATAAATCATCTAGTTTTTGATTTAATATCAAAAGTTTTGAACTTAAAGCACTTAATATGATAATAAAACATAGGTGAAAGGTAAGAATGACCATTTGCTTCTCTAATGTGAGCTGACTTTCTAAAAAAGATGAATTATATGGTGCAAAGGAAAGAGAACTAATTGATATTTCAAATATTGGTCCTTTCTGGAATAAAAGAGAGATTGACAAAGGAAAACTCTAGCACAGCTGAACAAATCTGTAATGAACTATTTAGAAACTGAAACAAGTAGCTAAAACATGTTAACAGATAAAAATTGTAATGCAATAATCTAAAAAGAATATAAAGATTTGTTTTTATATGTCAAGGAAATATATCTTCTGATTGATATTGATTCACTTAACTCAGGCTATTATAATAATTATCAAGATTAATGCATTTTTTTGCAAAAGTTTACAAAACTCTTTATTATGTAATAATTAGATCAGTCGTTTCTCAGATAAGTTATGGTATAGTTTAATGTTTTTTGAGTTTAAAAGAAAAATAAAACAGTATTTTGTTCATAGAGGAAAAACTGAAACGTTTTCCTAGCAATATTATTAAGACAGTTTATGAAAAGTAAATCAAAAACAATTATTTGAAACTGATAATAGAAAGTAAAACTATTAAAAGTGTTTTTTTTTAGGAATAATCAAGGCAGGTATTACATGACATAATTATGCAAATTATTAGCTTTTTTCAACAAAAAGTTCAAATGAAAATTAAAAATAAATACTCTTGCGAAGAAGTTCTTTTTTCTCTAAAATGGTTGAGATTTGAARCAAATCAGGTAAAAGGATAATATTRACAAACACATTTATAGGAAATGTAGTGAGATTTTTTTCTCATTGTTCAAGAATTCAAAACATGACAACAGATGCTGACAGAAAGGAAAACTCTTGCAACAAAAATCTACGTGTTTGAATAAAAAAATTTGTAAATATAAATTCTAAATTTGAGCAAATGTACTGTAAAAACGAATTGTTATTTAATACACGAGTGTTATTTGTAATTGTTTCTGAAACTTTTTCTTGCAATTGAGCTTGGATATCATAAAGGAAAACTAAAATAACTTCTCAAAACTTTTAAAACAAGATCTAAGTGTGAACTTGTTTCTAAAGAAATCTCTGTGGCGTATGTTAGTCCTGTACAAGGATCTCTGTTTTTAGTGAAATGCCCTGTACGTTCAACAGGTGGCTGCTGGCACAAGCCATTACCACACCACAAAAGGTACCATCCATTCGCCATTGTTCTTTTGTTTTACATCCAAAAGACTCCACGATCGAGTACAATTTTATACTAACAAACCCGTGAGAACATAAACTATTGTCATTTATAAAAATCGTAAYGTGCACTGAAACATCTCGATGTTTTGCCGGKTTTTTTTTCTGGTCGAAAATCGATTTTGATTGATGCAGTTGATGAATAATTAATTCCATTCATTGGAGGCACAAAGGTCTTGTATCGTGGAAACACGAGATGAAAGAAAGATATGAAACAAAGAAACAAAATCCACAATCATCAATTTCTTGAAATTTACCTGATAATTTTCTCAAAATCATATCYTATGATTTTAGCAACTTTAAAATTCTGAGGTTATTTGACATGTTTCAAAATAACATTTCTGATTGATTGCTTAGAGTGACCTCATCTTCTATGTATCGTGTGGGTTCGAAGCTTGATCGAAGGTTCGATTTCCGTAAAAATAACCTCCACTGACCCAAAAGTATGCAGTAAATTGATGTTTGTTAGAAATCTAGGCGGTGTACAATGCTTTTCCGTTGAAAGAATACCCAGTCGGTGAGAATATTACGTGTCGGATGTCAAGGGGAAATGACGGGAGTAAAGGAAAACCGAAACTAAAATTGCTATGTGAGATCACTTGAATAAGAAGCGAGCGACTATATTGAGATAATATTGAAATCTTCATCTTTGATTCTCAATCTCTAGGTTTTAATATAGATGTCAAACTGGATGAATGAGCACATAGGGTAAACAAAGACCTCCCTAGTCTACTGTGTACAGCATTTCCCGTAGAAATCAATAAGTACTTACGATCAAGTCCTCCAATGTAGTGCATAGCGATCTCACAATGTCCCCATACTGCAGACACTACGGGATATACAGTATGTCCTTTAAGTCCTCTAAATGCAACCCCTAAGTAACGGCCATCTATGGTCTCAAAGGCCAATGTGCCTTCATCCATATCCAATATGACACGAAATCTATCAGGAACGATAAAGTTATGTTCAACATCGTGATGTGATGGGTATTTAACCGTAGGATTATTCTTCTCATCGTGATATAGTTTGTTCCTTACAATATCCCATCCCCAGCCATCCTCAGTTTTACCGATCAATGAATGGTAACCTGTACAATGTAGTGGGGCTTTTGCTGTTGCTACTCCTACAACGGCGTGCGTACCGCGCTGCCGAGTTGACCAATGTATTTCCCAAACATGAAACCCTCGATTAAATCCTTTTCTTCCTCGAATACAGTCAGTACTTTGAGCAACTGGATGTCTATGAAATGTGAACGGATCGTCGTCTTTAACGAACACGTTGACGGATCGATCCGACGGGTTCCATGAGTATTCCTTCTGCCGTTCTTTAGTTGCTGGCGGTCGATCTAACACCGTATCGAGCTTCTCCGGTCGCGCCAAATCGCGCGCCCTATCTTCTTCGTCTTTTAAGAAGTTGAGCGATTTGAGTGAAACTCCAGCTCTATTGTCGTTATGATCACTTCTTTTCACAGATGATATTCTTGATCCCATGTTCGCGAAGGGATGGCGTACGAAGAGGTTCGACGTGCTAAAACTTGAAGAATCCAACTTGAATGAATGAATGCCCGATCCGCAGACCTCCTCGCTCTACTCTAGTTCTTTCAGAATGATTATGTGTTCTAGAACAAAGAATATTGAAACATTAGTGTGTGCTACGAACGAGTCACAATCCAGCTGATCAAAGTGATGTTCATAGAATGCTGTCAGACCGCTAGATTCAAAAYAAAAGCACACCACATAAGATCGCGATTCGATCCTTCACCACTGACTTACAATTCACTAGCTTTGTACCCTGACTGACGGCGAGTCAACTTCTCCGCTTCTTTCTCCGCGATTTCGTGTTTATGTCAATGAATGGTCTTTGTCAGGCTTTGTTGTCATCAGAAAATTTTTGATCTTTGTATTTATATCTCGTGCGTGGAAGCTCTATAAGCACATTGCGCATGCGCAAAGGCCTTTGTTTGTTCAAGCGTGGATACAACACGTCTGTGCTCAACAACGTGTGACACACGTTCCAACGATTACTTCCGGTTGCGTGAAAACTTTAGCGATTTACGGATTAGCCGAGTCAGGGATGAAAATGCAGTTGAACGTAAACTGAAAGTTGTCCGATTACTCACGATATTAGTAGAAAGTCTAAGTAAGATGGCTGCGAGCGTCGCAATGGTGACCTAATTCACCGATCTCACTGTTGACTTTTACGCTAGGTGAACGGAGTGCGCGCGAAATTCCTTTGGGCTATTATCAGTCGTCAGTGTCATAGAATTAATGTTTAATAAGAAACGAAAAGCATTGAAACCAAGCACAACAGGTGATAGTACCGTGTTCATCCAACCGTACGAACTATCACCATATGGTACATGCATGGACAACACTTCTGGCTTCGTTACCCCCTAGAGAACCAGCCTCCTTGATTAGAATTCTCATTCTAAATCTTGTATATTTCAATCTACGAGTATAGAAGCATTAATCAGGCCTTCTAGAACGGTTGATCAATCCATATGATTCCTGCATGGGCAACACTAATGGTTCTTTTGCCTCCCCGAAAACTAACTTGCGCGATTGTTACTATACACTAATCATTATCTTTCTAAACTCTAATATATTTCAATCTCGAAGTATGGAAGTCTTGATCAAACATTCTAGAACTGTTGATCAGCATATGGTTAAAGCATGGTACCCCATGTGACAGACTTACTAACCACCTTTTATCAATAATCATCTGTAATTATGTTTATGATTAATAGTGATGAATACAAAAAGTCTTATCATGGATAATCGATTAGTTCGAGTGTTGGATTGATTTGGACAARGTAGAGTTTAGTGCTCGATGTAGAATAACTTCATATGTTTAGACATTTGTTTGGTGTTTTGGTGAAAACCGCGTCGTTTTTAACGCTTCACTAACTGACTTAGCTAAGTTTAGTTAACAACCGAAATGGCCTCTGCTGGTAGGCTAAAATACTGTCCCATTACTCATCATAGCAATGTCTTCATTTAGGAATTCAATCGATTCACATGTCAAAATAATTCCAAAATTCTTTACTGTGATTTTCATTAGTACACCGGTACATCACGCTGACAGACTAAAATAGCGTGTTCCATGTTCCACTGATCATGTGTTCTTTTTTAGAACTGATCATGTGTTCTTTTTTAGAATACAAATCCCGGTAGCTTAACAGACATCGCATGAACAAGCACGTTTACCACGTTGCGTTTATTCATAGAGAATCACATWAAAAAAACCCTCTTTTTCTCTTTTTGCAAAATTTCTTTCACTTGGTCTGAATCTATGTAAGGCTTCGGGGAGTGTTCGGAAGTAATCGACACATGCAGGAATTCTCGCAGACCTTCCGGAAAACTCCCGAAACAAAGTCACGCACTATACTGCGTGACATCATGTCGTCACCGGAAGTATGTCTGCTTTATACCCTGACCTTAGTTCATTAGTTTGCTCACCTAGTTACAGCGATTATGCCAGGAAATAGATGATTTGGATGTGATCGCGGGGTTTTTAGTATATTCTTTTATCTATCTGTGTTAAATAACTCTTTATTATGTTTGGATACTCGTTCTTCGTGAGAGTGAAAGTCGTAATGAGCTGTCACNTATGTTATTTTGCTTATTGAAAGCGAACGAGGAGGTCAAGACTGAAATGATGGTGATGCAAATTGTGATGATGATACAAACACAACCTAAAACACTGATTCTGATACATTACGGATTCTATAAACAGCACATAAAATGTCACTAAAGCTTTTAGAATGGAAAGTATTTCAAGGATTCACTATCTTTATTTTTAAATCGAATATTAATCTTAAAAGTCCATCCAGACATATGATCATTTGTTGATGCTTGTAATGCTAGTGATTGACAGCCGCTCAGCTCGAATGCCATGTCATTCGGTCCTGTCATTCAATGTAAAATGTTTTCCACAAAATATCAGTTTTATTTACATTTTCTTATTATCCTGGCATTAGAGATCGACTTGATAGTATTTTAGATTCCCCGTCGCATAGATTTAAAATTGTTCTGTGTTTTTTCTTGTTAAGTCTCATTAGTTACTCGTTGCAGAGAGTTTTTTTTGAAAGAAGCTTACAGGGTCTTACTCTCGTCCTTGTCAGAACAGGAAGATTTCTGTTTGTATAAAGCTAAAGCGAATGGAAACTAAAAGGTTCCTAAAAGATTCAGGTGTTAGAAATGATAACACTCACCCCTACTTTATAAACAATAGATACATAAAATACTGCTGAACATAAAAACAATCCTAACTGAAGCTATCAATTAAATAATATTGYCAGTTACCTTWATGTTACTCCTGTATAGCCTTCAATCTGTACTTTRAGATGATTCGACTAGATTTGCTTATTTCGAACCAAGAGTGCTAAATATTTCTAAGGAATGATTCAGACAACGTGACAACGTGACTTCAAAAAGAATACGTGACAATTACGTCATCAGTATTTAAATTCGTGACGATATTATGTATCATAGCATATGAATATTTCATGATTGTGTATTTTGGAGGTTTTTTTTTTGCTTAGTCACCAACGATGATCAGATTTAGTATAAAAACTACTTACACGTGATTGAACTTGTATTTATAAAGTATGATTTCAAATTTTAATTCTTGTTTTAYTTGCGTTAAACTGGCGTGTGTTGAGGCGCGTTTTTTATCGGAGCTGTGTCKTTTTTTCTGATAAAATTATGAATAATACACTGTAAAACAATAGASAGCGGTAATGGTCCTTCGTCGGGCTAACATCCGAGATGTCTGAGTAAGATTTTCTTGACTCTTTTTTCTTTTCATCACGACTATTTTTTATAATTCAATACATCAATACGAACTATCTATTTTTGTATCAATCTTTTCTTACACGATTATTGACACTACACTCAATGTCAAACTACAAAACAACGGATTTCTGGAGCTCATCAATGCTTGAAGAACCGGAATCCAGGGTCAAATCGAGGAGAATCAACGCTTTGTTTTGCGTTTGTTTTGCTGAAAGCCGTGACCGGAAATGGGGGAGTGCACAGATACCGGATGTGACGTAGTATTTCTGATGTACAAGTATTGTTACGTACAAGAAATGTTTCAATGAAAACCACGTTTTGTTACATCCCCCGCTATTATCCGTTATCTACTATAATACTCATTAATGGATATTAATGTAGGATAATGTCAAAACAGAGATTGAATCAATATGAAGTCTATGATTGTATCAAGTGATGACGGTAATGATAAATATGATGACCATCATGATGATGTTGATGATAATGTAAGATTTATGTCAATATAGAGGTAATATTTAAATATTTCAAAATATTCTCTGTGACGCAAACCAAGTAATTAATATAAATCAATTACGATTAATAATAAACTTCAAATCATAATAACATTGATGTAGGATTTATCATGATAATTCAGTGGAAATATTCAGATTTACTATAATGCAAAGCATTTCATCGTTAGCCAGACCCCTACCGTTTGAAAAAGACTATCAGCATTATATAGAACAAGGACTTATAGAATTAGTGAAGACGAGCTGAATCACATGCAATTAGTAAAATAAAAAGATTTAGTATGATACCTTTATCGCTGTTTCTTTCTTTATAAATCCCGATGTAAAAGCAGTCCAAGCTCGTTCATTGTATGTGTGTTTACAACTATAATTGACACATATATAAACACATTTTTCGGCAAAATAAAGGAAGTAGATTTTTTCATTGCTACAAGTATATCATGTAGTTTTTAAAGAATGCAACACCCGGCGGGGGGTCCATCAAAGTATTTCAGATTTATAATTTTCCCTGCTCTGTAACAGGTGAATTCGCGTACTTCCGGTATTCATTTCGAAACAAGTCTCGAAATATGTTTTGGTTAACGTTTCTAAATAAGGGTTTTGGCTATGTCACGTGACAGTTCTGTTTTAAGCATGGAGAAGAGAAGGGGTTTTTTGACTGGTTTGATTCTCGTCATTTCTTCCATTTCTCCTTTCTTTTTTCCTCCATTTCCCAGAAATAAGTCTCATTTGTATTATTTTTTTTTTCAATTTTTCTCTGTCCATTTAATCAGAAAAAAACGAATTTCAGCAAACAACGTTTCAGTCCACCAACTTTTTCATTTCATTGGACTGCTCTTTTTTTAAGATCTTCCATCTCTGATCTCTAATTCAAAGGTCGTAGTCATTTATGAAATAAAAATAAAAATGTTAACACATCTCGAAGTAATTTTAAGAAAAGCCCACTTTAATCAATTTTAATCCAACGTAAACTTGTGGAATCAGTGTTATTTCCTTGTGATAGATTACGTTAAAGAATTTCCGTACTCTGCGATCACGATAAAGCAGGCAATACTGTAAATAGACCCATTTTTCCTTAAATGTCTCGTTGCTAGTAAATCCTACATTRCTTTCCGTGGTATTTCATTTCCTACGCACAACCACGCACCATYYAATGTACTTACAGGCACTTTGTTTGAAACGTAACCTTAACTGTRCATCACTTAAAACCTGGAACTTTGTGACGTCWTACTACSTCACGTAAGTATTCCACAATTGTAAAAAAATTTTAGGCAACTTTTATCGCCTATCATGCAATCTCATATCAACATATTGACTTCGACACGTGCGAGATTTGACGTTTCGAATTACTTTGTAGTTTCATCGATGTCAGGTCATGTAATCTAGATCAACATATTGACTTCGATACAAGCGACATTTGACGTTTAAACTCATTTAGGTTGAATCTGCTATTATCTTATGTAACGCAATCTGTCTAAATATCGTGACAACAATCCGTGTCAGCCAAGTATCACGATGAGCCTGAACTGGAGTTGTTTTGCCTCACGTCTTGCATTCAAGGGTCATACACAATATTGTACTCGAGCCATTCGTCTCAAACATGATAAAAACAAAACAAAAAAAAAACAAAATAATTACTGAGTAAGAGATCAAAGGGTTGCAGAGTGACGCGATGCACGCATCGAACAATGTTTTGTTTTAGTTTGAACTGTTTGTCAACTAAATCGAAACAAATGGAACTGAATAAATGAAAGAAAATGAATGGAAAGAAATGAAAAAATGAATCTGTTAAGACAGAAAGTACTGGAATTGCCATTGATGCTCGAAGCTTCTCGATATAAGTAAAAAAAAATATTATATTTACCGCGACTACCATTTGCCGAAATGAATGTGAACGAATAAATGAAAGAAAATTGTGATTGAATTGAGTAGCTACTTGTTTATTTGACTGATGATGATATTGAAAAATATTGAGAATTACGATGTTACTTTTGTTTCTTAGGAAACAAGATTCTTAAATACAAGCTTGTCGTGATCACAACTAAAAGCGAACGATCACGCGATGAAACTTGTAATGTAAACAACTTTTAAAATATGATAAAACAACACGTTAATTCCATTAAAAACGCCTTTTTAAAGTAGTGATTTGTAAAGTAGATAGAGTAATTGCTTAGGAGTAAAAGGGAGGCTGGAAGAATAGAAAAAAAATTGAAAGAAGACTAAGAGATACGTGACCGTTTTATCGCTCGCCGCTGACCTGCTGATTCAACCGGAAGTTTCAATGAAATCATGCTTCGTTTTTTAACAGAATATTTTTTTTTTTACCCTCAAATAACTGTTCCTACGTTTTTCATGCTAAAAATATCAAACAGGTTCTCATGAACGTGATTTACTGCATGATAATCTAGTGCGCGAAAAACCGCGAAAATTACTACGCAGCGCGCTGCAAAATGAGAAATCCATCGAGTCTTGCGGTCAACATACAGAATTCGTGTTAATTCACGTCACTGAATATTGGAAAGATATTGATAGTGATGTTTTAAATATTGCTAGCAGTTCATTAAAATAAGTTTATTATGTATTAACTATCGAATATTATAATTCATATTCCCTTCTGCAAATTATTCACATTGTGTATGACAATGAACTTGGTAAATAATTTTTTTTATATACAATATCAGTTATAGTTAATAAGCTTACCTGAAATTACTCTTGAGTTAACAACAGTATTCTCCTGTCTGTACAGGGTCAGTGTTAATGCTTCAATTCGATTAAACGGTCTTGTTTGATCGTAACGGTGATCGTGGTTTTATATTTTAGTCAGGYTCTTACGTATTTTTGATGTCATGGAGCCTGYAGTGCGTTTATTCATGAYCGGAAAYACGTCACTTTGTTCTCAGAGACGGGCCGCTGGGAAGATTGTACAAGCTGTCTGTCTGAAAGCTGTAATCAGATAAAGTAATGATTGCTTTTGAACCAAATAATGAATTAATCTTGTAAATAAAATTTTAAATGCAATAAAGGGTGGAAATCTATAAAAATAAACAATTTTACCCAGCATACCCTCCCATACATCATTTAGCTCATGAATATTTATAAGAGAATTAGCACTTATCCCGTTCCCATAGTGATAACAGAATACGAATTTTTAATCTGCCACCATTTTGAACACATTATAGTTAGTTGTATTCTCAATGTTTTCTCAATTAGAACATTTTGTTGTGTTCTAGAAGCCTTGATCACGTACTGGAGTTGTTCTATAGCATTCTAATTTTGCCATGAAGGGCTGTCTGAGAGCAAAAGATGGAACAGCATTACATCAGCTGAGAAATACAGTTACGACTGTTGGCAGGGAAGGATGCGACCTTATTCTTCCGGTAAGTTGTGTATTTTCGGAATATAAAAACTGCATTCTTTATAGAAAGCACTAGCATATCCTGATGTTTTAAAAATATYCAGACGAAACGAAAAGATTGTTTATATCGCACGATTCTTGTTGTCGTTTACTGCACACACGTCCACGATAATATTTCTTGTTTGCTTCTTTTTGTTGGGCAATTATAACTAGCAGTTATAATGAACATTACTGTAGTATTTCTAAAATCTTAAGAATTAGATCCCAATGCGTTATTACATCATTTTATCATGAAATCTTCGTTTTTATTGATAATTTCGTACATCACGTCCATATTGCACATGTCACTCAAAAGTCTGTCTGACTTGAAGTTAATATTACAGCTTAACGTCAATTTAAGTAATCGAGAATGTTTTTCATTCTATTTAGAAGTATCTAGACTTGTTTTGGTTGTTAAATATCGTTGTTTGGTTCGGTAGTATAGATTTATTCATGCCTGTCTGTGGTTATAATGTAGTTCTTTGTTGTATAGGGAATTCCTTTGTTGTCCAATGAGTTTAGTAAACAATCAAATCTAATCTAATGGTTGGAAAGTGTGAAAGTACTTCTTTTATTTCTTTAATTTATTCAGACAATGCATAAGAAATTAATGTTAACTACAAAATTGTTTCACTATAATAGCTTAAGAGATAATATCCTTTCAAAGACTGCCATGCTGTACATAAGAATTATATCAAGAAATTTTCTTCCAAATCTTGTCCAGTTTATCACAATTTATACAACTTTTCAGTAAAATCAGACGTTTTGATTGGTTGGCTTTCGTGTGTTATCAAAGTATAGATACACGGATTACGTCAAAACTAATTGTTTGTTGTATAAAACAGATAGATATAATTTTTCCATGCGTGTGTACTCTAATAGATACACAGATGACGTCAAAATGTAGTGAGAACAAAAGTCATGGACTCGACTGCGTCTCGTGCGTACTTTTTTGTTCTCACTACATTTTGATGTCATCTGTGTATCTATTAGAGTACACACGCACGGAAAAATGATATCTATCTGTTAAGTAAATGCAACTGCAAACAATGCGCTCTGCAAGAGAGTATAAACTGGTTGCTGCGCAATCGATTTGTAACCATTGAATAAAATCATTTCCTTTGAATTTATTCTGTCGCTGTTTGTCTTGCAGTATTCTACAATAGAGAAGCAACATGCTGTTATTGATTTTGATGTCTCACAAGGATGCTTCATTTTACAAGATTTGAACTCAGCTAATGGAACATATGTCAACGAGCATCGAGTACAGAACTCTGCCGTCAGACTGGCACCTGGTGATATTGTACGATTTGGATTTGGTATCCTACCTGACATAAATCAATGAAATATAGTGTGATATCTAATTTGCAATCTAATTTATGTTGAAATGACTGAAGACAAAGGGAAATGTAATTTAAATGTTAGCTTTGTTTGATGGATATATGCCTTGGATAATATTGATATATATCATGATGTTATCTTAGATTTGTTTTCATTTGACCGAACAATGATAAATGGCTGATTAATTAGAATTCATTGGTAAAAGCAAGAGAAAACAACATTTTAAGAGTGTATACCAACCAATGTTCTCAATAATCTTTATTGGTCAAGTGAAAGCATCTCTAATATGAATAGATGTAATCATGTCCTTAACCATGTGACCAGGTAATCCAGGATATGAGTTTGGTATTGATCAAATCCCTAATCTAATATACCAATCTACCAATCCACCAAGACCACAGTGGTTAAATGGACTATCGACACCACAGTATTCATCATCCGTATCTCTACCATACATCACAACAGGACTGTCATCTATTGTAGACTCATTACCAGGCTATCAGGGATCCCAGTCTCTCGCTTCTCTACCAGGAACAGGTGGACTGGTAACAAATGATTCAAGAGCTGCTGATTCATGGGTAATTATCATGCAATGATTTCAAAAAAAGCAATTCGTAGTGATTATTCATTGTTTATCATTTCTGTTAGGGTGGTGGGGTTATGCCACACCCTCCCTTGAGGTCACGACCAGCGAGTGCAGGGACTGTTAAGCCAAGACCAGTATCTGTAGGAAGAGAAAGGCCACAAGTATTGAATAGAGGTTTGTTGGATTTTCTTATACATTTAATCCTTCCTTTTTTCGAACAAAAATCATTTATTATTTATTTTTTCATTCAGTCTTTTATTCATTTATTCATCCATCCATCCATTTGTTCATTTAATCCCATTCATTTAGTTTTATCCATTTTTTTTTTTGTCTTCCATGTTAGGTGGATGGGTAGAGAATGGAGTTTCATCTCCAAATACATCAAGTCAACACAGTGTGGAAGAACTGGTAGGAACAGCTTGTGCCATTCATATACTAGTCTGTTATAACTATTAAGCGGCATTTACACAAGCAATTGTTCCTTGTCAAGGGAAACTTGTCAAGGAAAAATTGCTTGTGTAAATGGGGTAAAATGGGCAATTTTTCCTTGTCAAGGAAAAGCCAACACGTTCACTTTTCCTTAACAAGGAAAAATTGTCAAGGATGAAATTTGCTCGTATAAATTTGGACAACAAGGAAAATGTGGCAAGGAAAACTTGTTGACCATTCATCCGGGCAATTTTTCCTTGTCAAGGAAAACTTGTTCTTCGTTTACACTAACAAAGAAACATTGTCAAGGATCAAGAATTGTCGAGGAAAACTTGTTGACCATTTACATTGGCAATTTTTCCTTGTCAAGAAACTTGTCAACGAAAAATTGCTTAATGTGTAAACAGCGCTTTGTATTGAAATGACTTCATCTTTGACTCTAGGAGGAACGCTTGTTACGCATGGGAGATGAGCTTAGTAGACTAGCATCTTATGAGGCTGAGTGTCATCGTAAAGATGGAATCATTAACACTCTAAGAGATGAAGTAGCTGACCTCAAGTCTAAACTGAATGGTCAGAACTTTGGATTCAGGTGAGGAGATATTAGGCCAAAATGACTCACAAATTCATAGACAGAATCTCAGTGTATGGTTCATGAAGTAGTGTTTTAGGGGATACCTGTGTAAAGTATTTTTCTCTTCCCATTCCCTCTCATCATATCAATAAAGGAATCCCAAGAATCACTAATCTGGAAAAACTGACTTTCAAGGCTTAGAACAAGTGAACATTTACTCCTTATTTTCTTTGCTACATTCAGTTATTAATTTTAAAAAGTCAATTTCAAAGGAAGATGATGTAGATATTCATATTGTATTATTATTGTATTATTTATATTGTATTATTCATTCAATTTCAAAGGAAGATGATGTAGATATTCATATTGTATTATTATTGTATTATTTATATTGTATTATTAATTCAATTTCAAAGGAAGATGATATAGATATTCATATTGTATTATTGTAGTGGAGGTGGGCAGGATTCAGCATTCTCCAGTGTTGGTATTGTTGGTGAACTTCGACAACAAGTCTCCCAAATGCAAAMCATGTTGAAAGAGAAAGAACAGAAGATGTTGAGATACCAAGAACAACTACACACTAGAAATGAAGAATTAAGTACTTTGAAAGAACAGCTAGATTCACAGGTATCTGAAACATTGACATCTACATAAGTATTTTAATAATTTAGGAATTTCAGTTATTCATCTTTTGGGTTTCCTGTGTTGCTGGTAAGGACATAAAAGTTAAGAGATACCATAGCATTATTGGGCAAAGATCTTCAGTTTTGCAGCTTGGTGCAGATTTGCTATGGGTGTCCAAAAGGTGTGGAACTTTGGCTCTGTGACTTTGATACAACATTGTATATGTACAGTAGCCATGATCCTTCTCAATTCACTTATGGCATCAATATGTCAGACAAGTTGTAGTCTGCTCAAGTGCATACATGTCCAAAAGCATTGGATGAACCAGCATTTTTATTTTCTTTTTGTTTCCATCTATCCTTGTTTTCCATTCCATGCTTCCACATGTTTTTTTCTCATTTTTAAAATTAAAATTTGTATGTTTTAATCTTTATATTTATCTTCCTTCAAGTCACAAGTCAAAACCATCAAGACAATGAYGACTCAAGATCCAAACATCAGCACAAACACATTGGCAACGCTAAGAACCCAGTTAGCTGAAAAAGACAAAAAGATTGCACAACTTACCCACGATATTGACAAACTAAACAAGCAAAAAACACAAACTACTTCACTCATGAATACTATWCAAAGARARAACTCTGCCAAGGACACTGTGATYACTCAAACTAAGATGGAGAATGAGAAACTAAAGAAACAGCTCCGAGAAAAGGATGTTACCATATCAACCATATCAGCAAAGGTAGGATGATTGATTCATTGACGRCAATTTTSTATTTTGAGTGCTGTAACCATAGATTAACCTAATTACAACTCTTGTTTTCTCTCTAAAAAAAGTTRACCCGTCAGAAGGCAACAAAAGAAGYAGAGCTTGAAGCAGATAAAAAAGAAAAAGAGTTGAACTCAAGTAAAGAGGTTTGTAGCAATTTATTACATGAGGTGTCACACAAGGTTATATGTCAATATGCCTGTCATGCTTGTACAGTACAATCTATTAATAGAATATGTACTTAAATTTGTCTTCATTAAGACTGCACTTACCTGCTATTATTCATGTTACAAACAAACACTGTTCTTGTATCAACAACTCTGGATTCTTTGGTTTCCAAACAAATTGAATTTATACTCTAGTCATTGTACTTTGAAAATATTTAGTTTTGAACAACGATAGTTTTACATCACTTGTGATATTTTAGTTATGAGGGAGCTTATAGTCTCAGCTGTCAATTGAGGTCAAGGAATCTCAACTCTTGGCATCCAAAACCAACAAATTACAATCCTTGAAACAATAAAATCAATATGCAAATTGAAATTCAACAAGTATTTTGTTTGACTCTGCATTTTTGCATTGAATGGCAACAACAGCTTTATGGAAGTGTTGGTACCAGACCTTAGTTTTATTATTAATATACATGAAATGACATTGATTGCATATCCAGGCTGTAACATCAGATATCTTAATATGATAAACAAACTCTTTTATTGTTCTTTCAGAGACTTCAAAGCACAGAGAAGCAGCTGAAAGACCGGACAAGACAAGTCAGTGAGCTGCAGAATGAGCTGGAGAGAGTCAAAGGTTCAATCTCAGAAACCAGACAGGTGCATATGTTATAAAATTATTGTTTTAAGTTGCATCACGAAGTAAAAGCATTGATTAATTCTGTATTGTAGTTTTGTTTAATATTCATAATATTTAGTTTAATTGACACAACAGAAAGCAATAATTTTATAAAATTCAGAATTATTCATTGTTGCTGATGCTGTTGATGTTGCTGTTGTTTTTGTTTTTGTCAGTTTTTTTTTGGTGTAGCATTAGTATTAATTGTTGTTTTTGTTTTTGCATCACTATTATGGTACATTAGCTGCTCTCTATAGTGTCACATTCATTCTCGACATTCACTTCTATTTCCACCAACTTTGCCTTCCTTACCATTTTGCAATTACATCCATTGCTCTATGTGTAGTCAGATACATCAGATGACAGTGCAGACAGTCAGAAAACATACTCTATACACGACGAGTACAGCTGTGAAATGCTTGACATCAATCAGGAAGATAGTACTAATAGAACATACTCTATACACGACGAGTACAGCTGTGAAGATAGTACTATTGACAATGAATACATGGACCTGTTACTGGTAGAAGAGAGTAGAGAGTTAGAAAGAAGGATAAGTTTACTAGAGTACCAGTGCAATTGTCTACAGGTTAGTCTACCTACTCCTTGCCTGGGAT